AACAACAAATACACACACACACACACACACACATTTATCACTAGATCTTCATGTGTTATATTCAATGAATGTAAACTGTAAGCTATCAATTTTCATTCAAAGAGTTTTTTTTTTTTCGAGTGGAAATTAGGCTGAAGCTGAAAGACAATTTCTAGAGTTTCCACCTTGCAACTTTCAAGTGATTACACTTTAGTCAAATGTCTTAGGAGACATAAATCAAATAGTGAAGAGGAAAAAGAAAAAGAGTAAATATATGTACAATTAAAGTGGATTTTGTGAAGGATTTTGAAAATTTAACATCACTGAGTTAATCTTGTATCTTATTTAGTAAATGTCAGTGAACCTCTTTCCACAAGGTGTGTGGGTGGGGGGAGGGGGCAGCTCGCATTTATTAAGGATTCCACTCGACAAAGAGCCAGTTTCACCTAAAAGGCAGCAGTTTATTCTAGAAGCAGCTCCACTTCCATGGAGTCATTTCCAACTCATAGCGACCTCTCCTTGGGTTTCCAATGCGGTATCTCTATGGAAGTAGATTGGCCAACCTTCCTTCTGAGGAGTGGCTGGTGGGTTTGAAGCACCAGCCTTCTGGTTAGCAGTCAAATGCCTTAGGCACTATGTATGCTGCCTGAGCTACCTTGAGATAGTAGTACTTCATCAAAATTAGAGTTGAAATTTTATTAATTTCAAATAATATTTTGTGTACATAATAGTAATAGTGCCACTTCTCAAAGTTCCCTCCTCATTCTCCTGTCAGGAGTTATTAGCCTTGGGATTGGGACACATATGATCTTCACAAAACTTGAAGTAATTCAGAAAAATTGAATGGATTCAATTAACCCTCTTCTAATGAGTTTTAATACTTCCATAATGAAACTGCCTGGGAAACTCAAGGAGGGGTCACTATGAGTCAGATACAACACGACGGCAGTGGGTTTGGTTTTTTTTTTTTTTTTAATGAGTTTTAAAGGAGCTCTGGTGGTGTAGTGGTTAAGGCATTTGGCTACTAACCAAAAGGTCAGTGGTTTGAACCTACCAGCTGCTCCATGGAAGAAAGATGAGGCAGTCTGTTTTGGTAAAGATTTATAGCCTTGGAAACCCAATAGGGGTTGCTATGAATCAGAATCAACTCAGTGGCAGTGAGTTTGGTTTTGGAATAAGTTTTAGGTCAGAGACAGGTGTTTGCAAGAGCTGAGCATTTTAGTAAATCAATGTTGAGTTTGAGATATTTGTACCTTTTTTCATACAATTATTAAATATCATTAACCTGCTGTACATTCATGAGGCATAAATGACTCTATGAGTTGAAAGTTTCTCTGACACTTCATCACTTTAAACTGGAACCTACTCTCCATCAGAGCCACAGTTGGCTCCAGCACAGGGCAGAGTCCAAGGCCCATGTTTGCCAGGGGTTTCCATGAAAGGTTATTGTTTTCAATAGAGGGGGGACTTTCTTGCTTTCCTTGTCTCAGAATTGTGTTTGCTTAAAGAACTTTCAACCACAGCTAACTATTGGAGGCATTGTGGGTAATGCTTTACAAGCTGATGTAACAACACAAGTAGAATCTAAGATAGTTTGCATGGAGCTTATGGGGATATAAATGTACATTATAATGTGGTTATATTGATAAAAACATAGATTTACCACTCTCGTTGGACTAGGTTTACAATCTTGTATCAAATTCAGGCAATATTACTTTTCATCAATAAGATAGCAGATTCCAAAATTTTCAGTCATGCTCAATTCTTGCAGGTGATACTCCAAAAGTGAGGCACAACTCAGTTTAGATTCACTCATTGCCCAACAATCACCTACTACATGCCAAGAAGAGTGTCTGACCCCGGATGTAGTATAGTGGATCAGACAGTCAGAGTCCCTGCTCTAAGTCTGGGTGGAGAGTCATGGGTGTGTGTGTGTGGAATACCCGCAGGAGCAGGGGAAGCACAGACAACCTTGCCTAACCCTAACTTTATGGTCATGGGAAACTTTCTGAATGCAAGGATGGGGATGAGAGAGATGGTTCAGG